CGGTCGGTTGACTTTATGTTAGCCTGCCCGTAATGTCTCGATGTGTCTCAGTATGTGTGTTTTATGATTGTGGTGCATCATGATTGTGCTGTGTGACGAGCCGAGAGGCGTGAATTTCTGCCATATGCCCCCAGTCATGTATTGTCTTTCTCTGCATATGCCGTTTTATCTCGTCTGAGTTTGTCTTGCTTGGAGTGTCCCATGTGCAGCATGCTTGGTGTTTACTACTTCAGTAGTTCTGTTATACATGACTGTGATTTGATGTGAGTATCGAAGTTGGTATAGTTGAATTTTTCTCTCATGAAGTTTATCAAAATGTGTTCAGGATTTTCTTTTATCTTCATTGATTGGTGCTTCACCCTTGGGTCATATGGATCCCAGTGCTGTACTTCATGCCTCCTTTCAAGCTTTCTTTTTCTGCTTTGGGAGAGATGGTTAAACTAAACTAAACTGATACTTGGAACAATATGGCAGCAGTAAGCAGTAAGCATTAAACACAGGTATACAATACAAGCGATGCAGATCAATGAGGCCGTTTGCTGAAAAGAAGGTCAAAGGGGGTCGTCGACGTCTGTTCTCACCGTCCACAAGCGACACTGACTGACGCTGCTATCTGGTGAATCCGTACGAAGATAACGTACGGATTCTCATTTTCAAGTGACTTAAATATAAAAGATTCTCAAGCTCAACTGATGAGGAGGGGGGGGGGGGAGGGGGAGAAACACTGTGCATTGAGAAGGAAAATGTGCTTCCTTCCAGTTCGCCCAGTGGAAGGTGCAAAAGACTCCTTATGTTCTCTGTATGTCTGTACGGGTGCAGGTATAGTGAACACGGAAATCTAAACTTTCAATACGGGTACTTCAAGTAAATTTCATAACAAAGATATTATTGGCGACATGACGTACGTACATCTTTTTCCGGGAAATGGTTGGTGTCCTTAGTGAAACGACGATCGACTTGGTTCATTCTGCTATTGTAACATCCTTATCATGCTAACTGCTTGAAGTAAGAGAATATGCTTACTGCAGCCTATCTTACTCTTCGTTTGTTCTTTCTTGCGCACACGTTGCGATATTAACCCAACTGGTGACCATCACAAGAAAAGGTTCTTTCCAAACCTTTTTTGCGGACCTAACTTACCTGTTGCTGTGTGTTGGAAATAGTAACTGAGCAGTTTATTCTATTCATCGCTTTTAATATTGTCTCCGCGAATATTATCTCATTCTCTCTGCTTGTTTGGACTCAGATGGAGAGCCAAGGTTTAATTTATACAAAGAGAAAGACCTAGGAACTAAAAGTTACGCTATACTGTCCACTAACACCACCAGTTACTAAACAATCAGCTCATGCGATAACATTGCACGACACTGACCGACGGTACTGACCTTCTACAACTAACTGGCTAACAGCTCTAGCACATCTTGGATGCGCACTCCAACAGCCTTTCAACTTGGAAGGTTCTAAGTTATAGATGTGCTAGAGCTGTTAGCCAGTTAGTTGTAGAACGTCAGTACCGTCGGTCAGTGTCGTGCAATGTTATCGCATGAGCTGATTGTTTAGTAACCGGTGGTGTTAGTGGACAGAATAGCGTAACTTGTAGTTCCTAGGTCTTTCTCTCTGCTTTTTATTCGAATTTAAATACCGGTAATGCCACAGGGACACAATATCCTCATCCCAAGACAGAACAGTGTTGCTCTTTTTGGTTTAACCTGCGCGACCTCTGTCGCCCAATTAGGACCACGGACATCTACATGTATACTAAACTTGAGGAGACTACTATGACAGCTTGGAGGGAGTAGTGTAGGAAAGGGAACAATACAGATTCCTTCTTTTAATCGTTGTACCTTTTTCTTCCTGAAGTCGCAAGTCTGTAAAAAGGGAGTGAGTAATGGAAGATGGGGATGATCTCTACCGCAGCTCTGCTGACAAGAACGGCTCCTAAATGGTGATGGAGGATAGATCAAATCCACCAACCAGAGACCAAAGTCCGAAATCCCATTTGCCACATCCATGTCCCCCCCCTCCCCCCGAACACGAGTTCCCAATTCACTGTGGGTCGCAGCACGGCTGGCAAAATCCTTAAGCTTCCAAGCAGGACTTGAACTTGGTACCTCTCACGACAAGTGATCTCTGAATCATGGATCGCCACAGACGAAAATCAACTCCACCTTCACCTTGCCCGTACTACAGGATAGCAAACGCAGCGCTGAACATTGGAAGTATCACTATACTGTCAGATGGCTGGTGAAAACACAGGGTACATTTGACGCCGACTAGCACCTGTGTACAGATGATCAATTCGGAGCAGAGAAATCAGACCCAACGAATAAAGTACTTCGAAGTAGCACCGAACTCAAGTACGGAGTGTTTGCTGTGTGATGCTAAGACCGCGACCGTAGTCCCCTGTGCTACTATATACAATGTCATCATGTTCTTCATTGTATAATTGTTCCGCGCAATCTGAGAATTTGCGCAATCTGAGAAGTTCCAGATTACGCAGATTGCGCACACAATCTGGGATGACACGATAATATTTTGTGGCACGAGACCAGGCACGGTAATTCAGCGTTTTTTGTTTTTTTTTCACTAAGGCCACAGCTTCCAATCATGACATGCAAAGCAGCGTGCCTGAGCTTCTGCGAGACTTCTGGGAGCACAAGCGGTACCCAAGAAAATTGTGGTGCAAAATTCACGTGCGCCGTTCGTGCCATCTGTGGATTTCTCTCAAAACCTGAAAGGCACTGCGAATTCATGTGGAGCGTAGTCTGTGGGTGCAATGTGTGGATTTCGTTGAAAATCGTGAAGAGCACAGCGAATCCGTGTGGCGAAAATCTGTGCTCCTCATTTTGTTTTTCAGTGAAATCGGGTAACAGATTGCAAAAAAAACAGATTGCCCCCACACGGATTCGCTATTCTCTTAATGTTTTTTCAAAGAAATCCACAGATGCGCACACAGATAGAGCCCCACACGGATTCGCTGTACTCTGCATGTTCTTTACAGGGAAAATAATGATGCTTAATCGGGCCACAGATAGCATACATATGGAGTCACTGTGCTCTTCAGGTTTTGAGGGAAATCCACAGATTGCACGAACAACATACTGGAATTTTGCACCACACAAACTTGGGTGTGCTCCCAGGCCAGAAGTCTCGCAGAAGCTCAGGTACGCGGTTTTATCGTGCCTGGTCTTGTGCAACAAACGTTTCAGCGTCCCCAGAATGCGCCTGGGCTCAGATCGCGCTGAGCTGCCAGCACAATCAGATTGTGCAGGCAGCTCAGCGCAATCTGAGCCCAGGCGCTGTAGATTGCGAAGCTAATCTGGAATTCTCAGATTGCGCGGACTCGTGACATAATTACTATAATTATAATCATGAAGTCTGATTTCTCTGGCCAGGACGGGGCGGGACAGTACCATGGTCCGACGGCGTATGTGTGCTGATTGTAGATCATTGCGTTCCCGTTCAATCCAAAGCGGTCCTGCTGTGTAGTGCTTTTGAGGTTACGTGTCAAGTTGCACGTCTCCGCTTGGAATGCATTATTTTCTTTATTTTGTTTTACTTCGCAAAATCCAGACGGGAATTTCTTCCCAATGACAAGGTAGCGAAGAGGGAAGAAAAAAGAAGAGAGGGAGAGAAAAAAATGTGTATGCACTGGAAATGATAGTCAGCTGGAGATCAATGGTACGGATCCATTGTCTAACATGGCATTTGCTCCTGTTGCATGTATTTACAAGTAGCAATGAATACATCAGGCACAGTCAATGAGCAATTGCGTACGGTACTGCTGCAGTTTTGAAAGTCCCCAGCGTTGTGCTGGAGCGGACGTCTCCAGGTAATCTCTTCCATTTACCTGTAGCGTTGAAGGCGTACCTCGACTTGCCAGCGTTTGTTCTTGCAACTGGAAGACTGAGTCCGTCCTGCTGCTGAAGGCGGGTTTCTCTGGTCATTTGTGGAGTCATTAGTTCTGTGACGGACTGCGATGTCTCACCGTGTAGGCTCTTCCATAACAAGAGCTAAGGTGTTCTGGTGGAAGTGCTCTGACACCTGGAAAACTCCCAGCCTGGTCAGCAAAGGTTCGCCGAGTGTCGCATGGGCACACCGTAGACAGTGCGGACTGCTCGATTCAGCAGAACATGCAGCCTCCTCCTCTCAGCACTCGACAGTGAGCCACTGAAAGAGGGCGAGGCGTATAGTGCGTCTGGCAGTACTACGGAGGTCACGTACCGTGCCCTTGCACCTTCACTAAGGCAGCGGCGTGCGCGCAAGAGTGCTCCGATCTTCGGAGCCATCTTGGCTGCCACTTTATCAATGTCCTCCTTGTCAAAGTGTTGTCCACGGTCACTCCGAGATACTTGACTGAGGAGGCTTCTGGGAGGGGTGTCCTGTCGCAGGTGACTTTGATCGGTGGGGTTGGCTGTTTGTGTCCGGCATACACTGCTAGGAGATGACTCTTTGTCTCATTGAGAATGAGGCCACGTTGACGTAGCCAGTCACTGAGCTTTGTGCCTGCTGTGGAGAGGTTAGCTGAGATGACATCCGTTTGCATAATCGGGCATCGCGGTATTAGCTGCGCAAGATATCCGTACCTGCAGCAGGACACTAGCACTGCTAGCTGTACACCAAATCGAAAACTTTACTGTTGTGCATGCGCCTAGCACGTGACGTGAACGAATTCCTGATATCCAGGAATGACAACCTTCTTGACAGGAAAAGTTAGTTGAAGTTCCAGACAGTTGTGCATGGGTCAACATCATGCTAACAAAACGGTCACAACGCTATCATGTACCGGTAGCCAGGTAGCGGTGGTCAGGGATTTGCTCACTCACATGAGAACAGCGCCACCAGAATCTGATGCATTGTGTTGGTATGATGGGAGCTGCGTTCCTCAGCTGCAGCAAGTGTATGCAGCTACGCAAGGTGTTCCTAGCAAATACTTCGCCAGTGACCTGTTTACGCTTCACTGACTCGTATGGAAGATATTTCGCGCGCACGCTTTGTCAACTCACCGCCAAAGTCCGTTGCATTGCCGACTCGCGGCTCTACCATCGCAAGGGACCCGCGCGTAGCTGCAGCACGACAGGTTTCTGCATACATTGTATAATGTCCAGCGCTTCTTCCCGAACGGGATCAGTTTGGCTCCGAAGGGCTGGAATCTCTTTGGAAAGCATGGCGGAGAGTGGAGCGGCGTTTGAATTCCGGAGGATAGTTCTCATCGGTAGAACAGGATCTGGAAAATCTACTCTGTGCAATGTCTTAGCAGGCGGCGAAGACATTCATTTCCACGAAGAAGATTCAGCAAAAAGTGTTACGCAACACGTGAAGTCTCAAAGGTTCCCGGTCAAGTATGGCGAAAAAACCTTGATTTTCGATCTGATAGACACAGTTGGCTTTGGAGATACTGAACTCTCAACGGAGAAAGTACTAGAGGAACTGGCAAACCTGGCCGTTGTGTGCAAGGGAGGTATACATCAAGTGATCTTTGTGACAAATAACCGGTTTACTGATGTGGAGCGGGAGTGCCTCGACTTGGTGCAGAGTGTTGTCTTCGCCAGGTCTATTCTGCCCTACATGTGTGTCGTCCGCACCCGTTGCGACGATTTCGAAGACGATGAAACTGTGGCTAGAATCAAGTCTGAAATGCAGGGACTGTCAGATATCTTGAAAGAAGTCGATCACTTCTTCCTAGTGAATAACCCGCCGTTTACTTCAAGAAGTACAACCAAGAAAAGGAGAACCAATACGTCGATAAGGCAAGCATCACGCAAGAAGATCCTCGCTCACCTCGTTGAGAATTGCACGGAAGTCTTCAATCCACCGAAACTAGTGGAAATCGTCGATACCATCGAAGATCACTTGATTCGTTACAAGAAGCTGGAAACAGAGTACAAAATGCAGGTAGAAAGGGAGGAAGCGCTAAAGGGTGCTCTCAAAGAAAGTCACCATCAGCTCAAAGAGCAGAGCGATCGTCATCATGACGAGAGGCAAGACCTGCAGAAGAAGCTAGATCACCAGCACCGCGAAAAGGAAGACCTCCAGAAGAAGCTAGATGACCAGGCCACCAAAATTCAATTCGTGGTGCACAGCACAATGGATCCTGCCGAGCTGCGTGAGACGATGTACAAGGATGCGCTGGTAAAGTACAACGATCTGACTTGGTTTGACCGACTGAAAACGTGGCGACCCCGACGGGCATATTTCATGAAGACGGAAGCGCTGAAGAAGTAAGCTATCAGCTTTCGTTTTGGCCACATCTCTTACCTTTACTTCCCATTAGCCACTAGATGTAGTGCCATGTTTTCCTTCTCTATTTAGTGCTGTAGAAACGGCGTTACCTGAAAAACGTCGCATGGAAATGTAGTGGAAAACTAATATAAATTATTGCATTACTCTGTTACGTTCACTGTCCACCCCAATGATACTATTCGTAGCTCCAACAGAACGCTACTGAACCTGTCTTCAGGGTGCCTGCTGTATACTTGTCTTAGTTCCCAAGTGTATCATGTAATAATTATAATTGTTTCAACATATCTTTGCTAAACAAGTTTACTTCGAAACGTTTCTACAAGCGGTTTGTCTTTGGTTGATTCAGTACGTCACAACACTGGCCGCCTATTGGCAATCCCACGGATCTCTTTTCTTTTCGCACGAGCAGTTTCACTGACTGTCAGCTCATTTTTGCACGTGTATCACGTTCTCCCCGTGTATTTATTTTGATGATTAAAATTATCAACGAGACTATAAACCAGTTTTCGTATAGACTTTCCGATAAATGTATTACATTTTGCACTGCTGTCATTCGCACCGTTTAGATTTGCGGCATGATGCAGCAGTCATTTACACTTTGCAAGTTTGTGGGTATATAAACCAATACTGATCCAGATTTACCCATTGCTGTTGTCTGATGATCACTTAGTGTTTGAAACTCGGAGTTAAAACACTTTTTTCCGTCCACGTATTGTTTGAACTAGCTCTGCCTCTCGGTATTGAGCACTCTCTTGGACAGCCTGGAACCTTTCTGTTTTAAAGTGCATTATCATTAACAGGAAAGGTGTCTGCTTGCAACCTTCCCACTGTCTCGTACAATTGATATAAGGTAGTGTGTATGGAGATTTTATTCTCACAGAAACACTAGACGAATTTGGTAAATGGACACATACTCGGGACTACCGATCAATTATTCAACCATTGGAATTCAGTTTCAAGATTATCTTTCCGTGCAACTCCCCATTGAGCTTACAGAGATGCAGTGTAAAGACTTTGAATAAGGTGTGCCATGTTATTATTACTGCACCGGGTGATATTAATTAAACAGGGTATCTGCACATTTTTTCCATTGCATGTCAATAAATGTGCGACTGTGTTGGACAACTTGATTATGTGCCTAGGCATAGCACAAATGCGCAGGTGCATGTACATGCACAATCAAGTTGTCCAACACATACACTTACTCCAAGTCTCTCTCTCTCTCTCCTCTTCGTCATCATCAGGCAATGCCCCATCTCATTTCGCTTCCTCTACATCACACATACATGTATATGAATTTCCATGTGCTATTATACAAGAATCTTATTTTGTTGTATTTGATGCTTGGTCTTGCCGCTGAACCCGAGACCCGTGGTCAGGGGAGGTATTCCGAAATTATCAGCACGCTGCTCCGGCTCCCCGCTGTAGTATCACGTCTTCCCTTTGTTTCTGTCTTCTCATTGCGTTGTGTGCTGGACTGTGCACAAAGGTATAAAGAGATAACACTTTTTTCTCTTTTCAGGCAGTTCACTTCCCCGACTGATCCTTTGAATTTGAGTTTAGTGCTCCCAATCATTTAAAAATAGAAATGATAAAAATTCAAAGCAGTGATTTCGCTTGCGAAAACGTTTGGTGACAGGGAAAGGTTATTCTGAAGTGTATTACTGATATCCATGTTGCCGGTTGGTGTGGTGTAGAGGAGGGGGGGGGGGAGTTAGGTTTTCACGAAACGCGTGAGATCAAAAACGGAACAACATGTTACCATCATCTCGGCAAGAGATTCATGACACCTGAACAAGTACCATACATTTTCTTCGTACATTGCAGTCATAAAGGACAGGAAAGCCGCTTCTAATCTATGGTGGCGTGTGCGCGCACCTATTGCACAGGTTGGTTTAAAACCCCTTGGTAGAACTTTGAGCTAGACGCAGTGGCACCTTGTGATCAATTTAGTTCCAGTTTCTGCGGTTTGGCACATCTGTGACATTTCTTTATGGAATGCACAGGTGCACAGGGCAAACCCACAACCTGCCAGTGGTCAGGCGGTGCCGCGAGAAAAATCTGCCAGTTCGACCAATGCGTACGTGATCGTAACGTAGAGCTGAGAACGTCACGAAATTATTTTTTCTTGAATTGGCACGAAGAGCTTTTCCCTGCATAGGCTGTCCTTGAAGATCCTAGTCTTGCTGAGGTACTATCTGTTCTTCGCTTGAGGAAGTCCTGAACGACTCTGATTTTGCATTCCACACGCTATCAGGACGAGATACTCCGACAATGCCAGTCTGTCTGTGATGGCAACCAGTAGCAAGAACTCCTCACCAGTCCCATCTCGTAAGCAGCTTGCCGTGCTCCTTGTAGGATGTGGTGGCGTTGGAAAATCCGCTTTTGCCAACTCACTGGCAGGCAACCCGAATTTGTTCACGGTGTCGGACAGAGTTGGGTCGAATCAATCTGAAACCAACCAGATAGAAACGTTCCCCATTCAAGTCCAGGACCAGCAGTTTGATCTAACGATCATTGAAGTCAGAAATGTTGCTGATTCTCACGAGCAAAACGCTGGTCATCTTGAGGAAGCTATCAAGGATTTCCCAAGCGGATTGGATCAGGTGTGTTTCGTCACTACAGGACGTTTCGATGACGCCACTATAGCCTGCTTCAAACTGCTTAAGGCTGTTTTCAAAGATGAGATTGTGTTCCATACCTGCTTTGTGAGAACACGAACTGAAGAAGTCACGGAGAAGCTCACTGAAGGCTTTAAGAAGGCAATCGGAGAGAAACTAGGCTTGCAAGACGTGAACATCTTCTTCGTTGACAACCCGAAACCAGTAGACTGTACTGGAGCTGAAAACCCTGACGCTAGCGCAATCTGCACTGAGCGTGATAGGTTTTTGGGCCACCTCGCTACGCAATGCGCTAAGCCCCCGTACAGTGTTCTGAATGCGAAAGAAGGTATGATGCAAAGAGTCAGGCCATATCTTAAGGTCCAGAAACTTACTGGGAGAATAACCGAGAAGGACGTGTCCGACAAGGAAAAACAAGTTGCCAAGCTGGATGAAGAATTGAAGTCGAGGAGTGCAGAGAAGCAAAGGGTGAAAAACCCACCGTCCTTAGTGGTGGAGAAAAAAACGCATACTACTAATGCTGAAGAAGCTACCGCTACCGGACATACAGACGAAAATCAGGTCGCTCTTCAATGGCAACAGCTTCGGGCTGAGTTCCAAGACGGGCTGGAAAACCTGCGGCAGATAGTATCGAAAATGGACAGCCTAGTGAAAGAAATGGCCCCAATGCAGCGACTCGAGGGAGTGGAGACGCTTCAAACTAAGCAACGACAGCCGCAAGTGACCGATCCCAAGACCCTAGACCGGGAGTCCACCCGTCAAGATCCAAATCAGAGCAGCCCCAACAGTCCGGTGGGTGAACTTAGTAGTAGGTGTTGCGTACTGTGTTGAATGATGAATGTGCTTGGTGATGTACTAACGTTATGTGCCGCTTACCGTGATCATGCATAGTTTCTGTGGATCAGCTCTACCCATTAAATCATGGGGCAGGGAGACTATCGCGACGGCCGATTTCAATTGATTTTACTTCTATTCTGTTTAGCCTACAGCATACACATGTTGCTTTCAATGTTCGTCTTCGCATATTAGAAACACCGTTTACTGTATTCCTTTTTTTCACGTAGGGTTCGTGAATTCGAGGGGTCTTCTCTGGCCGTAAGAGATGACGTTCAAAGTCCATTGGTTACCCTACACGGCAATCATCCTACCTGACATCGTGTACACCTCTATACTTCTCGCATACTGGATAAACAGCGTGTTCGTCTAGTGGCCACGCCGCCAGTCATCACACACACACACACACACACACACACACACACACACACACAAACACCACACACCCACTCAAGCACACACACACACACAAACCACACACGCACTCAAGCACACACACACACACATTCTCTCTCTCTCTCTCTCTCTCTCTCTCTCTCTCTTCTCTCTCTCTCTCTCTCTCTCTCTCTCTCTCTCTCTCTCTCTCTCTCTCTCTCTCTCTCTCTCTCTCTCTCTCTCTCTCTCTCTCTCTCTCTGCTTTTCTGTGCATAAGTAAATTTGCTCCTGAATTGTACACCCTGTTAAGTTGCAACCTTCCTCCTCCTTCCTACACCGCTTTCTTTAATTAACCCCATTGTCACATTCGCTTCCATGTAATTGGGCTTGTAGTCCGAGTGTACTTGCGAGTTCAAATACAAATATACATACATACATACATAGGACCACCTCTGGTGTTTCTTGCCGCACGTTTCTTGCTTAGACTATGGCCGCTCCATCGTCCTCGTGCTCCCTTCTCGGTATTAGTGTTGTACAAACCCTTCTTTTATTCTGTATCATTCTGCCCCTATATACTTTTATGCAAAGTGATCTGATGCTCATCATTCGCTGCCTTGTCACTGGACAGTTTTGTCCGTTTGGTTTTGCAAATTCAAATAGAGAAAACACTAACAAAAACAGCATGACCCATTGAACACTCCGCCGGTCAGATCCCTGTGCTGGAACGCGCTCAGTGCTAACTCCTGCACCTCATGCAAGGACGACACACCCTACGTTCAAGTATTAGTACTCATATTCACCAGCGCTTGTCTTGTCTGCCTGTATGTATTACCAGTTTCACCAATTACCTCCCGAAGGGTGCTCGTCGATGCTATCCAGCGCAGTATGATCACTTCGTGGCGTCTTGTTTGCTATCCAATGGTACCGTCACACTATAGTCCAAAGTGTCTATACAATACAGAACAATGAATGATGCATCGTATTTGTATGGCACTGCATTGTGTGCGGCTACTACAGGTAGCATTGCTGCGCTGCGGTCATTCCCCACTCATATCTGTGGATATGACTCGATAATAGGAAGTGTTTCTCGATGCCCAGGCGAACATTATCGTTCAGGGCAAATCACGTTCCGCGTATGCGAAGCTTGCCGACTATCATCTTGCCAACAAGGGCGGTAATATGCACGTGTCACTTGACTTACACACACACACAGGCTGAACTACAGTACTTGGATCTCCTCCGTGATTGCCTAATAGCACATTATGCATCAGTAGAGATGCAGCTGGTTGATTTGGGCAGAGAGTCAACGGATAGAAACACTTCTTTGTATCACTATTGATGCGCATTCCCATTATTCAATCGGGTGTCTAATATCTCTCGCAGTAGTGTAAGAGATGCTCGGCAATTGGAGACAACAACAATCAAATATTGATAGAATGGATTAGAATGGTGAAGAGGACAATCAGCATGCCTTCTTCTACTCTGTGTCTACCCACAGAGTAGAAGGACGCATGCTGATTGTGTCTGGTGTTATGAAAAATACGAATCGTCGTCTGCTTCCGCACAGCATGAGGTATGGTATGCCTTCACTACTCCTGGCATCTTTGTTCTGGCCCCGATGCAAACAGTCACGGACAACTCCGTGCCCCTGTCGTCACCTGATGCTGATGACATGCAGGCGAGTGCTGCCGTAGCTGCCAACCACATCATCTAGCCGCAGGCATCAAGCAGCCTGTGCCCGACCAGGAAAACGTCACTGTCGAGTATGCAGGGGTGTCAACATTCCTAGTAAGTAGTCCAAGGCCGTCACAGCTGTGACGGCCGGTTTTTTTTTTTTTTTTTTTTGGAGCACACTCCATGATCGCAGCTCAGCCCAAACGTGGCAAATAATGAAGAATCCTTGACCCGATCGTGGTTTATTGCAGAATCAAAACTGGCAGTCTTACATTGCACTCACAACACACTGAAATGGCATCAAATGCCTGGAAATGCTTGCGAATTGGCTTCAATTTTTGAAATTTTTCCCGTGGGAAGATAATGAAGAACCCATGTCCCCAATCGAAGCGTCTTCTTGGTTTGTTGCAGAATCAAAAAGTCTTTCATTGCAGTAACACTGAAATGGCAGCAAATGCCCGGAAATGCTTGCAATTGGCTTCAATTTTTGAAAATTTTCCTGGGGGACGACCCCCGGACCCCACCTTCCACGGCCGCCCCACCTCCAAAGTCGATGGGCCTGAGTACAAAAAAACCTCATGGTGCAGACGGCAGCTTTGCCTGCGTCCTCTGTCAACGTTCCTGAGGAAAAACTTCAAAAAAGGTCTGGAGCAAGTCCAGTCGCAACAACATTAAAAATAGACCGTCAACGAAGAGTATAATACTTCGAAGTAAATTGCACTGAGGCACACAGTTCACCGAGACAACGATTCCCACCTTTCCCACCATTGGTCCTGCCGTTTTGAAGATGCACCAGCAGAGCAAAGATATTGACAGTGTGAAGATTGCGAGTAGAACAATTTCAAATGTGGGTTCGTGCACCGCTGCATGCCGAGCTTAGTTACGACATGTGCATCGTGAAAGGACCGGGAGAGGAATTCGCGAAAAATGTTGGCAACCTAGCGGACGCAAAAGGGAACGCGCACTGGAGGGTGAATTACGTGATACTAGAGCTCTTTATTCCCCTGCGCTCGTTGTGCGTCAACGATGCCATTGCACGTCATCGCCTGCATCTTGTTCCTAGTGACTTTTCATGCTATTGAGATGATGCAGTGTTTATTTCCCAAATGTTCACCGACCCAGTTGCCTGGACCATGAAGTTGTGGAGTTGGCCATTGGCGCTATTGTTCGGATTTTTTCAGAGCCTGTATGCACAACCCTGCAGCAGTGAAAGGGTTAATTAAAGTTGTAAAAGACCTCAGATCGACCCACCTTTTACGTCACCCACGCGAACACCAAATCTTCTGCCTACTACAACAAATCCAACAGCTAGTGTGCCACCCAACCCAACAAATGACTGACCTGGCCGATCACCAACTCACTGCAGCAGAACATAATACTTTTTTATACATTCACCCGCCATGGACGTACATGTATTCAAAGAGCTCAACTCACAAGGACGGAGGGGGCTGCAGCGGGTTTTGTGGCCAATGGGCTGATTCGTGGGCTTTGTATTCCCAACCCTTCAATTCAGCCTCGCCCCCTCCCACCCCTTCCATGTGAACTCTTGCTCGGATACCAAAGAGGACTGACAAAGAGCTAGTTGTCGGGTAAACGTTCTGGCATTTCCAATATACAATGGAATTGCAATACCGCGCAGTGGATGCAATAGCATGCATGATATCTCCTTAGATTATTAACAGTGTTTCATGTGCTCTCAGGAAGTGTTTGTTCTTGTGGAACCCTCTCTGCCGATGCAGGCTTTGTGAAATATGACCCGTTTCTATTTCCCCATTTGCGTAAACACGCAATTCGTCTACCACTATCCGCTTCGAGATCAAATTGCATGGCTGGCTTGCTGATGGACGACAATGTGAAATTTATCTTGCTTTCAGCAACATCAAACAATTTTCACATCATTCATCAACCGACGAAAACGATTGTCAGACTGGTTGCGAGACGATTAATGTATTCCATCCATCATGGTGTAGAAGCGGCTACTTGTCCAAATGTTCCATTTCGAATGCCTGGACGTAGTGGTACGCTGCATTAAGTTGGACTAGATGCCCACATATTGAATGAATCCAATGGCCACAGGACCAACACACGGGTACATTTCAGAAATGGTTTGAATTACGGAATTGTGTGTAAGGTGTCAATCCGATACTGTCTGAACTGGGCGCTAATAAGAGAATTCAACCTAGTCCATACATGTGGCATGGAGATACTAAACTGAGAAACAACTTCGGACAAAATTGTTCTTAGCAACTTTGGCGTAAAGCGCATGCACAACGCGCGGCGCATGTTGTGCATGCTAATTGTTTGTGCATGTCGAGAAGAATCTCCCAAACGCACCTGCCACACATGTAGAAGACTTAAGTAGTACCTTCCTCAGAGATCAAACAGCCTACGAGGCCTCATGAGTGGAGGGATGAGCTTTATCGCAATGTCAGCTAGACCAAACGTTTTTGTCAAGCTAGCAAAATTTCACAAAAGTCACGAGTGCATCAATCTATTGACTACTTTGAGCAGAATGTGGTTTGGTCATGTTGCAAACGGACATACCTGGAGTAGAGAAACAAACTGCACGCAGGCCTTCCAAATCCAAGTTTGAAATTGAAATGTTGAAGCACCGGGTGTAACTGTTACACCTTCTTCTGCCTTCCTATCACTGCGCATCCACCACTCTGGCTCGCCTCACTGCCATCCAACGCCGTGGCCTTCACCTAATCGGTGATGGAGCCTACCTCCCTAGCTTGGACATCCGAAGAATGATTGGAGCACTCTGCTTTCTGTACAAGCTCCACTTTTCAACTGGCCCAGACATGCTTCTCACCCTCCTTCCGATCCACCCCGAGCGACCAACACATCACGCCATGGCCGACGCACACAAAAGCATCCCTCACACCACTTTCAGCGCACTTCCACTCTTCCGCCCAGAGCACGGAATGATGTCCTTCGGTCCTTCCCTGAAGCTGTTGTGGAGGTCTGGAACCAGCTCCCGCAGTGCGTTCTACTGAACCAGCTAACAAGGAAAGGACTGCAGACGTTCAAAGAAAAGGTCAATGCCCACTTGCGCCTTACCCACTGGGAGTGGGCAACGGACAGGCTATGAATCAAAGAAAAAAGACGAAAAAAAGCTCTAACTCTGTTCCCTCCTCCATTCACTTCGTTGACTCTCTGATAACTTTTTATTGTGCATACCTTTCCCCGTAATCCCCAGTTATCTACCTCCCTGCGTATTTTCTGTAATTTTTTTGTTTTTGTGGAGCGCTTGGGTTGCAATGAAGCCGAGACCCTATGGTCGGTCAAGCTGCCCCTGCCTCTCCCCCACTCCTGTCATTCCATATCACATACATGTATGTCTCATCGCTGCCTTGCTGCTTTGTGCCGTCAAATGGTGTGTGTTTTTTTGTAAAAATAAAATAAAACGAGAGAGCTTGGAGGCTCAGGGCCCTACGCTATGCTTTGTTGCCTTGATGACCTAGCCAAAAAAGCATAGGGATGTTATAAATTCTTTAAAAAAAAACCTTTTTTTTAAAGACATAACCTGGGATTCGAACCCGCACTATCGCGCGCCCTGCATGCATCCCCCGATACACTTCGCATACATACTAATTCTTCCAAGTTGTTTCACATTGTGATCTTGCATTTGAAAGCCCTATTTGAATATGCATTGTGGCCAGCCGTCTTTGATGGCACGGCACGGTAAGGGATATAGGTACGGGACAGGTACGATCGAGGGTAATACGACACCGTCTCCCGTACCGTACCGTACCATCAAACACAGCTGGCCACATACAGCTGCCCGCAATATTCAAATAGGGCTTTCAAACGCAAGATAATAGGGACCTTTCGCACCCCGCGTACGGATACGAAACGAATGCTGATTCGTCACGTGGGTTCGAGGATTCGTCAGAGTAGCTGCGGAGAACTCGTTTTCACGAATGGAAGCCTCTTCATTCGTGGCACGCTCCGAATCCGTCAGGTACACATTTATTTGGATAGGTACACATGTTTTGCAAGGTACACATTTTCCCTTGATTCCATGATCCATGCACGTGTGCGTGTAAAAACCCGTACGCCAAACTACCGGCGTCCGCGGCCGTGTTCGTAGTTGCCATGCACATTTGCATGACGACTTGCGAAACCTGAAATCTGTTTTCAACGAAACGATTACGAGCCGAATCAAACTTTCGTTTCGCATTCGTTTCGTAGCAAATGCGAAAGGTCCCTAATAACGTGAAGCAACTTGGAAGAATGGGTACGAATGCGAAGTGTATGGGGGAATGCATGTAGGGCGATAGTGCGGGTTCGAATCC